GGACAGGAGGTACCTCCAGTTCCTGTGGGCTGACCAGCGTCTGAGGTTCAGACGTGTCCCCTTCGGCCTCAGCTGCTCCCCGTATGTATTGTATTGTATTGTATTGTATTGTATTGTATTGTATTGTATTGTATTGACAATTAAAACACTCTCCATATTAAAATGGCTATTTTGAGTGTTCGTTCGTTCGTTCGTTCGTGTATTTAGGAAACATCCATAAAATGGTTTTTCAGTGTTCCACGTCAGTGTACAATGTACATGATAAAACATTGGCATATTAAAAAAAAACTTACATTAAAATAGATGCGACACACTTCTTAAAGCTATGCATAGATGACGAGCTTCTCACGTGTAGAGGCAGCTCATTCCATGCTCTAATTGCACGACTAAAAAAGCAGCGCCGACCGAACTCCGTGCGCGAGCGCGGTATCTCCAGCTGTCCATCATCGGTTGCCCTAGTGCTGCGCGCAGCTACATCAGAACGACTGACGATGCGCGAACACAGCAGTTCTGGCGCGTCTATGCCGTGAATGAACTTATACATAGCATAAAGGTCGCGTTCAGCAATCATGACGTCTATGGCGCGCCAGCCGAGGTCGCGGAGTACGCCCGACACCCTCTCGCGACTACCTAGGCCTGTCACTATTCGAACGGCGAAGTTGATACACTTCTGCAGCCTGCGCTTCTGGGTTTTGGTACAGCTGCCCCAAACACACATGCAGTACTGCATTTGGGGGAACACAAGTGCCTCAATCAACAGTTTTTTGGTGTGACGAGGTATGCGACGCTGCATTCTAGCGAGCCCGATCAACACAGAGTAGCAACGCCGCGTGACCATAGATACGTGCTGTTCCCATGTCAGACTTGGGTCAAGCTGCACTCCCAGTATCTTCGCCGATTTGACAGGGACGAGTGTGGTATCACCGAAACGCACAGTCAGGCCACCCGCTATATGTTGGCGCGATGATTTGAGCACGAGCAGTTCAGTTTTTGAGGGGTTAACTTTTAGCCTGTTTTTAGTAAACCACAACAATGCATTTGACAAGGTTTCCTCAACACGTCGTTTCAAATCAGGTAAGTGTCCAATAAAATCGGTATCCAGAAATTGAGCGTCATCGGCGTAAAGTACAAGTTTCCCATGTGTTATATGCTGTGACAAGTCGTTTGAAAATATCAAAAATAGCACAGGGCCTAAAATAGAGCCTTGAACGACACCGTGCGTCACCGGCAGCGCCGCCCCCGTGCCACCTCTAACAGTCTGCGTACGTCCGGTAAGCCATGCCCGGAACCAGCGGTCATCAACGCCATACCAGCCCAGCTTTGTCAACAGATAGCTGTGCTCGACACTATCGAACGCCTTAGAGGTGTCGGCGGTGACCAATGACGTCACTCGTCCACTGTCGATGCTGTCCGCTATAAAGCTCACAGCGTCAAGCAGTGCCGCCTCTGTGGATCGTCCGGGGCGGAAGCCATACTGCTGCGGACACATGATGTGATGACTGGCGAGGTAGTCCGTCAGCTGTGAACACACCACTCGCTCACACAGCTTAGCGACCACAGACAGGACGGAGATCGGTCTGTAGTTTGAAGGGTCGCCTCTGTCCCCACCCTTGTGCAGGGGGACGACGGATGCAGCTTTCCACGAAGGTGGTAGCTCGGAGCGAGTGATGCTGGCGTTAATGATGTGGAGAAGATGAGGTCCAACCACGGGGAAAGTCATCCGTAGCATGTGTCGCGTCTGAGTTAAAAGGGGAGAACGAGTTAAAATGCACCCAAATCACAGCACTCAGTAAACATATCGAACCATTCACTCATCCCTAAATACGTAAAAACCACTCGGAAACAGAGAGTTTAAAACTTCCCATAGAGAGGCTCCTAAAATCATGGGGCAGGCGATTATATAACTGGGCGATGCTGTAGAGCAGACGGCGCCTCCCTGCTTCGGTCCTCACGCGTGGGAGAGCCAGATCAGTGTCCCGCCTTGTCGAGCGTGAGCGCAGGGAAGAGTTGGTCAGGATTTGAGAGGATATAGTCTCCGGCTCCCCAGTGCAGCGTATTTTGTGAAGGAAATTGAGTGAGTGGATTTCGAACAGCTGACGGGCGGTGGGCCAACCCAGTTCCTCTCGCACGTCCGATATGTGGTCAAATTTTCTTCGGCCAGACACAACGCGCAGCGCAAAATTAATGACTTTTTGGAGACGTTGTATGTTTTTGTCCGAGCCGTTTCCGTAGACCGAGAGACAATAACGGACGTGCGAGAGGACCAAGGCGCTGACCACAGTAGGCAGGAGTTCACTAGGGATGTGGTGACGCACGTGGGACAGCCCGATAAGAATACCGTTGCATTTTTGGACGAGGGCCGATACGTGAGAGTCCCAGGTGAGGTGCTTGTCAAAAATCACGCCAAGGTTCCTCACCGTAGGGCCCTCACGGATCGTGTCCTCACGGAACCGAATCGAGATGGGATCCAAGCCACGGCAATTTTGACGAGAGCCAAACATGATGAGTTCAGTTTTGAGAGTGTTAACTTTCAAACCGTTGGTATGAAACCAGGCGTCAAATGAGTCCAAAATTTGTTCCAAAGTTGCAATGAGATGAGGGAGGCAGTCTTTTTTGCCAGATAGTAAGATTTGAGTATCGTCAGCGTACTGCACCACGTGCGCCCCAGGGGCGTAGAGGGGGAGGTCATTGGCAAATATTTGGAACAGGAGCGGACCGAGCGAGGATCCTTGGAACACGCCGATAGGATTGGGCAGAGGATCGGAGAGGACTCGATTTCCTCGCCCGTCAGCTGTGCAAACAGATTGGGTATGGCCACGGCCCACGGAGGTAAGAAGAAAACCAGGTTGGATCGATAGAATAGGTTTGAAGTTTGGACAGAAGCTTTGTGTGGTCGATCACGTCAAAGCATTTGGAGAGATCGAGGAGACAGAGGAGAGTGAGTTCCTGTCGGTCGGTGGCAGAGAGGATGTGATCGGATACGGTGGCGAGCGCGGTTTCTGTGGAGAGACAAGAGCGGAAACCGTGCTGGGATGAGGAAAATAGATGGTTGCCAGACATGTAGGTGTACAGCTGCTGCTGAGCAACTTTTTCTACAAGTTTGGCAAAGGCAGGAACAATGGAGATAGGTCGATAGTTGGATGGATCAGTAGGATTACCGGCTTTGTGGATGGGGTATACGATGGAGTGCTTCCAGGATGCGGGAAATTCACAAGTTGTGAGACAGGTGTTGACGAAGTAAAGGAGGATGTACCTTCTGCTGCAGACCCTGTCCAGTCATATCTGTCGGTATCGTTCGACTGACCCGTCCCTCTGCAAGATGCTGGAGGAGGGACTGTACATAGATGATATATGCCTATCATTCCCCAACAGGACTGAAGCGGAGAGAGGCATGGAGAGGACGGTGCAGATCTTCGGCGACGCTCGAATGGAACTGCACAAGCTGCGCATCACCGGTGACGACGCTGAGGACTCGAGCATTCTGGGACTGCGCTGGAGCACCAGGACGGACCGTCTGGCGGTGTGCCTACCCACCCTGTCGGCCATCAGGACCAAGCTTGAGCTACTGTCCACCCTGGGTAAGCTGTTCGACCCTCTCGGTGTGCTGTCGCCCTGGCTTGTCGTTGGCAGAGCAGTCTTTCAGCGGACCTGGAAGGAGCAGCCGTCCGCGGGATGGAATGATGATCTGTCCCCTAACACGCTGGAGGAGCTATCCACCTGGTGCAGAGATGCGTCTGACCGTGATGTGTGGTTCCCCCGCACTCTGTTCACCCGCGCCGGGCCGGGGGGGGGGGGGTGTTTGAACACCCCCCCCTTGCGGTTTTTCGCAGATGTCTCAAAAACGGCGGCCGCTCCGCGCCGCCGTTTTTGGCACACCTGTTTGTGCATCTTTTCCGCACATGTTGTGAAAATTTCAGACCCAGGTCACCTTAGGTCAGGTCACCAGGTCACGCCAAGTGACCTCACCTCAGAAAAAAATGAGAATGCTCGTCATAGCTACACCGACTGAACGATTGCCTTGAAACTTTCAGCGATTGATTAGAGCAACACTATCTATAAAATGTTTATCTAGGAATTTTTATATCGGTGACCTAAGGTCAGGTCAATTTTGCGGCCTCTCCATTAGGTATAAGTCACTGGGAGAAAATTGAAAAGCGTCCGTTTTGCACGAACGCTATTCTAGACACTCAAACATCGAGATGTAGGTAAAATAAACACAAAACCAGAAAATGGCAACTGTGACCCCTCGTTATGTCCCCGAGGTCATCTCAGGTCACGAACAGAATCTAACAGTTTTTCGATGATAACTTCTGATAGAGGAGCGCTAGAGCGCTGAAAACGCCTTAGATGTGTTCGGCTCGACGTTGCGGATCGACTGATATGCAACATGACCTTTTCCGGTCAGGTCATGACCTTGACCTGAGTTCAAATTTTCAAGTTGACCTTTCAAGGTCAAATTATAGTTCATTCGACGCGTCTCGACGAGAAGAACACGATGCTGGCAAAAGTAATGTCATAGCTCTTTTGAGTCAAAAGTAATTGCCGAAAAAACGTTTTTCGTAAAAACGGCTATTTTTGGAGTTTTTTGCCCTCTGGAGGCTAAATTGTTGACCTGAGGTCAAATCTGAGAACATTACTCAGAAAGGTCTGTAAAAGGGCTATCGAATGCGCTTTTTGCGGCGCTGTAGCTCTATCGGTTCCCGAGATAGCCGTTGGCAGTTTCCAAAATGTTGAAATAGTCAACATTTTACCTTTGGTGACCTCTGGTGACCTGACCTTTGACCTGACCCAAAAAATGACCGAAGTGTTTTCGTCCTTATTTTTGACGTTCTTTCGATTGCCGCTTACCGCGTGTCGCTACGTGGCCCAGGAGCCGAGTTAGAAGGGGGTGTTCAAACACCCCCCGCGGCCCGGCGCGGATTAATCACCGATGACGTCACGTATCACGTGTTCTGTGATGCTTCGAAGCGTGCCTACTGCTGCGTCATCTACGCTGTGACCGATGGAGACTCTCGGCTAGTGATGGCGAAGTCTCGTTTGGCGCCCGTGACTCCTGCCCTCAGTGTGCCGAGACTGGAGCTGATGGCAGCCCTGATCGGATGCCGCCTGATGGAGTTTGTTCGCAGTTCACTGAGCCTGGACGCACCGCGAGTGGTCTACTGGACTGATGCCAAGGATGTCCTCTACTGGATCAGCAGCAAGAGGGCGCTCAAGCTGTTCGTCCACAACCGAGTGAAGGCCATCACCGAGATGTCGAGCCCCGAGCAGTGGCGTCATGTCCGTGGGGAGGACAACCCAGCTGACATCGGAACCAGAGGTATGTCCCTCGCTGTCTTGGAGAAGTGTGATGTGTGGTGGAAGGGACCCGCGTTTCTGAGGGACTCTTCAAGTCCTGAGCTGCCGCTGTGGGCCGCGCCTGGTGAGCGGCAGCTATCACCAGAGGCCGCTGTGGAAAGCAAGAAGGAGAGACCTGTAGTCAGAGAGAGTCTGGTGACCCAGAGGAGTGAGCCGATGCCGTTCGACCTCACCGAGTGTTCCAGTCTCGCACAAGCGGTGAACCGACTGACCTGGATACGTCGTTTTGTGTCCAACAGCCGCGCGCCGAAGGAGGACAGAGTGACCGGGCCGCTGAGTCCAGAGGAGAGGCGGAGTAGCCTTCTCTTTCTGATCAGAGTGTCCCAGATATGTGTCTACCCCGATGAACTGAAGGCAGTACGTTCGGGTGCGCTGCTGCCTAGCGGGTCACCACTGACTAAACTCCGCCCGCAGCTCAGTGAGGAGGGAATCTTGCTGGCGACGCTGCGGACCGGCGAACGACCAGTCCCGATCCTACCAGAAGAGGCGCGCATCATGACGCTGATCGTAGAAGAGGCTCACCGCCGGTGCTTCCACCAGGGGACGCGCGTGACACTGGCCCTGCTCACCGCAGAGTACGCGGTAAGGCGGCGGACCGTTCGCCGAGCTGTGGACTCATGTCGCCGATGCCGTCGCTACCGATGTCTTCCCTACAGGTCGCCAGAGGGGGTGCTGCCGAGTTTTCGCGTGCAGCCGTCCCGACCGTTCGCCAAGGTGGGCGTCGACTATTTCGGGCCACTGTACGTGGACGGCAGCGCTAAAAAGGTATGGGTACTTCTCATCACCTGCGCCACCTCCCGTGCTGTCCACCTCGAGCTAGTTCACTCCCAATCGACAGCTGACCTCGTCCTGGCCCTGAGGCGATTCTTTGCGCTTCGTGGGACACCGGCGCTCATCTACAGCGATAACGCGACGACCTTTCGCGCGCTGCTGGGTCAGCTCCCAAGGTGTGTCACCTGGCGGTTCATCCCTGAATCGGCCCAATGGTGGAGAGGCTTTTGGGAGCACATGGTGGGTGTAACGAAGGCGGCTCTGCGTGCATCGTTGCACCTCTGTCATCTCTCCTTTGAACAACTGGCTGTCGTTCTTTATGAGTTGGCGTTTTTTGTCAATCTGCGCCCCCTCACCCAGCGTGATGGGGAGGACCTGCTCACGCCAGCTCATCTGCTGTTCGGTGTGACCACAATCGATGGTGTCGTCACCGCCGTGAGTGATTGAAGCGCGTTTTATGGTTTGTGAGAGTGTGTAGTTAAAATGACGGCTGGTTAAATGAATCAAAATCATTTAGTGGTGCAGCACAGCCCGTCCTGAGAGATATATTCAATTTTGGCTTGGCAAACGGTTTCTGCGAAAAAACAACAACACGATTTTGACACAATGACGGAACAAATAACACATAAACACAGCGCCAAGATCACCGCCACTGGAACAGTCCGCACACTTACCAAACGTTACTCATGTCGCCTCGGCGGTGATGAATGTTCACTTGTTCAGGCTTATACATTTATCGATATAAACAAAAGTTCTGTTTCGTTTCAGGAAGTTCGTTCTTCGTTCGTGTCTTCGTTATTCTCGGCTTCGGTAACTTGTACAAATTTAGTTGAAATATAAGTCGTAATTTCACATCTTCCAATCAAAATAATGGGCTTATTAACTCAATAGCCCAAAAGCTCACTGGCTTTCAAATTCTTCTCATATTTTGCCTTTTCAATTTTCAAATATTTACACAAATAAAACATTTTTTCGCCACCTCGTGCATAAGTCGCTCCTGCTCCACAGCAGCGATAATCGAGGTCGCGACACCCTCCCCCCGCCAGTGTCCCACCTCTTGGGAACACTATACGTCAGCGTCATCAGCGGCCCCTTCAAGAAAGCACGTAACGTCAGTGAAGGGGCCGTGAAGTGGGCCGCTCAAGTTCCGTCTCTGCACCAGTCCAGCACACCATACCGCTCGCTCTCTCTCGTCTGCTGCTCCTGGGTCACCAGCTGATGTCGATCCTTCCTGCATGACGGAAGCGCCTCAGACATTCTCGTAAGGCCCCATGGTGTCGAGCTGATCCAGCCAGGATGACGTTCTCCCGTTGACGTCCACAGGTGCAGAGATAACGGCGCAGTAGTCGGACGGCTGTCTTGGCGGACGGGCTGTGCGGACTAGGTCATCAGGGTGTGTCTATCTGAAAGTCTATCGCCGAGACTAGCGCTGGCATATGTTACATGATATGAATGATGTGAATGATGTGTATGATGTGGTGACTGCAAACTAATCTGCTGTACTTGCTGTTACTTTGTGTTTGTGTGTCTATTTGTGCATGTTCAGTGCCATTCTTGGATCATATTCCTTGGCATCAGGATCACCACACATTCGTTCCTTCTGTCTTTCTTATAGTTGGTTTGCTGCTTCCTGAGGTCGTTCGAGGAAGCACACTTTGTTTGCTGGCCGTTGGTAAGTCAAACCATTGCCAGTTCTGAGTTGCAAGGAGCGGACGTGGCCATCAGCGCTTGGCGTAGTGCGGGTCACGGTCGCTAGCGGCCAGTACCCCCGTGGGGCTTGGTCGTCCACCATCATGACAACATCCCCGACTTCAATATCTCCGGTTCCAAGTGCCCATTTTTCACGTCGCATCAGATTCGGGAGGTATTCTTTCCTCCATCTTGTCCAGAAGTGGTTGGCGATCACTTGAGCATGTTTCCACCTTCTCTTGCTCAGTAGAGCTGAGTCATCAGTTGATCCTGGCGGCAGATACAGTTCTGGCGAGCCCAACAGGAAATGATTCGGAGTCAGTGGCTCGGGGTCATCTGCGTCGCCGCTGCAGTATGTTATTGGTCGACTGTTGACGACATACTCGACTTCTACCAGGGCTGTCGACAGAACCTCGTCTGTCACGACTTGCCGACCCAGCACAACTCGCAGGGCTCTCTTCACAGACGCTACAAGGCGTTCCCATATACCTCCCATGTGGCTCGCCGTGGGAGGATTAAAGTGCCACTCGATCTGTTCTTGGCTGAGCTCGTCCAAAATTTGAGACTGGTTCCACTCCTTGATTGCAGTTCTCATCTCCTTTTCACCGGCTACTATGTTCGTACCGTTGTCCGAATAGACCACTGATGGCTTGCCTCGACGTCCAAAAAATCTCCTCATGCCCATGAGGAAGCTGTCAGTGTCTAGTGACCACACAACTTCTAGGTGAACAGCTCGGGTGCTCAAGCATGTTACCAAAAGGACCCAGCGTTTCTCGGTCTTCCGGAATTTCTTCACTTGCAGCGGACCGAAGAAATCTAAGCCGACGCAGTGAAATGGGCGGGTCGTGTCAAAACGGTGTCGCGGCAGATCTGCCATCTTCGGCTGAGACGGCTTCGCCCTCCTATTCCGACAGAAGGAGCACGCATACAGCACGTGTTTCACGGTCGCTCGACCCCTCGGTATCCAATATTTGCTGCGGATCATACTCAGCGTGTGCTCCACTCCAGCATGCAATGCTCGTTCATGGGCGTCTTGTATTAGCATGCGCGTCACCTCATCCTTTCTACTTAGGATGACTGGATGTCTAGCATCTTCACATATAGGAGCGAGGGAGAGACGGCCGCCGGCTCGCAAAAGTCCCTGTTCATCCAGCATAGGTGACACGCTCAGCAGAGGGCTGGAGGGATGCACTGAACCGCTTGTTGCTATCTTTTTGATGTCAGTTGAAAATGCTCGCTGCTGCGCGTCTTTCAAAATCATCATTTTTGCCGACTCGATTTCAGGACCATTCAGTGCTGTAAGAACCAACGTACGTTTTTGCACAGCGGCTTTCAGGTTGTCGATGTATCTTTTGATCCATGCTACGATTCTAGTATACTTGTTCCATGACGAAAATCGTGCTGGATCTGGCAGTACTGACCGGTATGTCTGGACCTGAGTGCTCAAAATATGCGGAGTCCTTCTCACCTCTGGATCGGCGTGGTCCAGATCTGATGAACCCATTCCTTGAGAGGGCCAAAATTCTTCAGTTTTCTTCAGAAATTCTGGACCTTCCCACCATGACTCTAGGTCATTCAACGTGGCGCCGGAGGCTCCGCGGGAACAGGCATCCGCTGGGTTCAAATGGCCCGGGACGTGCTTCCAATCTTCGCAGGAGGATAAGTCCAATATTTCGGCAACTCTGTTCGCCGTGAACGTATGAAAGCGGCGGCTCTCATGCTGGACGTAAGCCAGTACGATCTTGCTATCTGTCCAGTACAGAGTACGGGAGAGATGGTAGGTGATTGACTGTTTGATACTTGCAGCCAGTCTACAGGCTAACACCGCCGCTTGCAACTCCAGTCGAGCTATGGTGAGCTGTTTCAGTGGTGCTAGTCGTGTTTTCGCCATAACGAATGAACAAAGAGCCGTCTGCTCACCTTCCCCACGGCGCTCGTTCGTCATTCTAACGTACGCCACAGCGCCAAAGGCCGCTTCTGATGCGTCACAAAACACATGAAGCTGGTATTCATCTGGTTCTTGTGTCAGCCTTGCTTTATAACAGCGAGGAATGCGGATATTTTCAAGGTAGTGAATCTCGGATTCCCATTCAAGAAATTCATGGCGCTCAGTTGCCCGCAGTTGGTCATCCCAGCCGTAGTTTAGTGACCACAGTCGCTGTACCAGTATTTTGGCGCGTAGCGTGAATGGGGCAACAATACCAAGCGGGTCAAAAATCATTGCCACTCGTCGAAGCACTCCTCGTTTCGTCTCTGGTACCTCTGTAAAGCGGCTCTTGACACCGATCAAGTCCATTTCCGGTATCCAAACACATCCCAGTGCCCGTTCCAAATCTCCCTTTTGACGCATTAAATCAACGGCGGGAATACCAGAGTTGTATTCTGAATCTTCAAGAACCTCTGAGTGACTGCTTACCCACTTTGCCAGTACAAATCCTCCCTGACCAACTATTTCCGTGACTCCATTTTTTATCATTTTGGCTTTCTCGACTGTTCTAGCCGAATGCAAAAAATCGTCCATATAAAAGCTTTGACGTATCGCTGAGACGATAACAGCAGATTCTGCGTCATCCCTGTGGTCATCTGCGGTTCTGTGAAGGACGTAGCTGGCTGCCACTGGACTACATCTAGCGCCAAATATGGTCACTAGCATCCTGTAATGGTCGGGCGTCTTAGACGTGTCCCCGCCTCTCCACAGAAACGTCAGCGCGGGCTGATCTTCGACTCGCATCTTCACTTGATGGAACATCTCGGTGATATCCCCCATAATTGCTACACGTTCCTCACGGAAGCGGATGAGGATCCCCACCAGGTTTTGCAGCAAGTCTGGCCCTGTGAGAAGATTGTCATTTAGTGACGTTCCTTGACATGATGCTGCTGCATCAAACACTACACGCAACTTTTTCTTGTTAGGATTTGAAACCCCGTGATGTGGGAGAAACCATGTCTTGGGGTTCATCTTGGCAGCTTCAACTTCCTCTTGTGTCAACTTGCGCGCATAACCCTTCTTAACGTATCCCATGAGCGCCTCATCGTATGCTGCCGCCTTTTCTGAATTCTTGCTCATGTTCTTCTCAGTTGAAAGTAGGCGATGGTAAGCTATATGGTAGTTGTTAGGCAAATGAACATCGTCTGTTTTCCACAACAGGCCCACCTCGTAACGGTCCCCAACTTTCATCGTAGTCTCGTCTAAAATCTGTATGGCTCGTCTATCTTCGGTAGACATTGATGTTTTATCCACGTATTTTGTACCAAAACATTCAGTACTCCACCATTCTTGGACATAGACTGGCACCTCTTCTGACTCTGTTTTTTGAACCAACATAATCTGCCGTACATGCTCAGGGACAAGATTGTGCAGTGAGCCGGAGAGCGCCCAACCAAATGCCGTCTTAACGGCGACAGGCTCCCCGGGTTTGCCCATCCTAGCCTCCAGTTGAAGTACAGCCTCGATAACATTAGCCCCAAGAAGAAGCTCAACCTTTTGTCCATTGTAACCGGCTATGTCAAGATCACGAATGTGTTTCCAGCTTTGCATGCGCTTTTCAAGACTCGGAGTTTTAACGTACAAATCGGGAACTGAAAATGCCTCCGAGACAAATATGGGTTTTGACCATGGCTCGTGGGCGGGGACAAGACTCAATGTCACCCTATGGGAAATTTGTTCCGTGCCGCGACCTCTCACCGTTTGGAGTTGGAGTCCTTGTTTCTCTCCGGTCAGTCCAAGATCAGTAAGAACTTCTTCACAGCAAAGTGATGTTTGTGATCCGGGATCGAGAAGTGCGTTCACGGCCCGGGACCGCCCTTCATTTCCCAGAATGCGAACACGCACGACCTGAAGCAAGGTGGCTGCGCCGTGGTCAGGCTTGGACGCAGCAGCTATAACTCGAGTACCGGGGCTGTCCGCCGTGTCCTCGATCCGCCTGGCCTCTACTTCTGGGATAGGTCGCCGTACCCTCTGGCTCCCATGCAGCAAACGATGATGACGCATCCTGCACCCCTCTAGACCGCACGGCCTGGCTGTTCTGCAATAGCGCGCCCTATGCCCCCGTTTGAGGCAATAGAAGCAGACGTCAGAAGAAGCGACAATTTCGGCCCTTCGATTTGCGTCCTTCTCTAAGAATGAGGGGCATGTGTCTACGTTATGTTTTTCTCCACAGTATATACAGGCCCCGGAATGTTCCACTTCAGTGCTGAGGGCGGCTCTGCGAAGCGGAACAGCAGTCACGTCATGTTTTTTGGCTCGACTCTGTCGGTTTTCTTCTGTTGCCACTGCCGCGTAATTTATAGCTACCCGTACTTGCCGACGCAGCCACATATCAAAATTTACCAACGTTGGTCTGGAGGGCTCCAAATCAAGCACATATTGGCCCCACTCTCTCTTCAGTTCAGAGGGGAGTTTTCTCGCCACGTTATGCAAGTTCTCTGAGCTATGCAAGTCACTTTCATAACCCAGATTTTCCAAGACCGAGACGGCAGAATGAACGGCCGCGTGGAACCGATCGGTTGATTCGGGATCTAAATATCTCGGCGAAGGACAGGAAAAAACAGCTGCTAAATTCGAATGCACAATGTCTTCCTCTCTTCCATAGCGATCTTGTAGCGCAGCTATAGCGGCGCGGTAAAGTCGACCGTCATAAAGCATTCCGGAGATTGTTTTTTGAGCTGGACCAATGACGGCGCCCTGGAGATGCGCCATCTTCTCTGTGTCAGTCAGGGCAGACTGATTGCCAACCAGAGTTTGGAAAAGCGCAAACCAGCGCGGCCATTCCCCGGGAGCTCCACTGAACTTGGTTAGCTCTAACCTGGGGAGATTCTTCAACTACCGCCATCGGTACCAGCGTGATGTCCAGTATGTATGGCCCGCTGGAATCCAGCGGCGGCAGGAGCGGAGGATGTTGAATCAACAGGGTTGGGCTCTCCCGTCACTTGACGGCTTGGATTTCCTTCCATATCCACACAGGGTCTATCGACAAAATCATCACGCCTCTCCCATTGCAATTCATTTTCGGCAGCGAGTGTTAACTTTGCTTCTAACTCCGCTGTTGCTTGTGTATCTCTTGCATTTTCAAGTTCATTTGCTCTTCTCAACTCTTCTTCTTTTCGTTCTCTATCATGTCGATTTTTAAGCTGCTGCAGCTCCATTTCTTTAACTTTCAATATTATTTCCGTTTTCTTTGCTTCAGATATGTGAGAGACTGAAGAACACTCGGAGCCATTGGCTGATGCATCCGGTTCGTCCTTCCTATCCACCAATGCCTTCTCTATCTGATCCATTGTATCATGGTACTGACATTCTGCTTCTGCCACATAGCTTTGGGCCTTCTTTATTTCATCTGCACCATCGAGAGTTTCGATATATTCATCATTTTTTACTTGCAAATTCGCCAAAGCTTCATCGAGCTCAGACATCATTTTCAGCAGACTAGTCCGGCTCCCCTTAGCATCGACCGCGACTTGTGCCCTTCGTCTGAGTCTTGTGAGTTTTGCCAACGCGTACTGACGGCTTTGTTTCCCCTTCGATGATGCCTCAGACATGACTGTTTTTAGCTAAGAAACTTCTTGGATTAACAATTCAGCGAAATAAGTCAGATAACTGAGAGGGATGTATGACAGAGACCTTTGAGCGTTTGAAACTGTCGTCACCGCCGTGAGTGATTGAAGCGCGTTTTATGGTTTGTGAGAGTGTGTAGTTAAAATGACGGCTGGTTAAATGAATCAAAATCATTTAGTGGTGCAGCACAGCCCGTCCTGAGAGATATATTCAATTTTGGCTTGGCAAACGGTTTCTGCGAAAAAACAACAACACGATTTTGACACAATGACGGAACAAATAACACATAAACACAGCGCCAAGATCACCGCCACTGGAACAGTCCGCACACTTACCAAACGTTACTCATGTCGCCTCGGCGGTGATGAATGTTCACTTGTTCAGGCTTATACATTTATCGATATAAACAAAAGTTCTGTTTCGTTTCAGGAAGTTCGTTCTTCGTTCGTGTCTTCGTTATTCTCGGCTTCGGTAACTTGTACAAATTTAGTTGAAATATAAGTCGTAATTTCACATCTTCCAATCAAAATAATGGGCTTATTAACTCAATAGCCCAAAAGCTCACTGGCTTTCAAATTCTTCTCATATTTTGCCTTTTCAATTTTCAAATATTTACACAAATAAAACATTTTTTCGCCACCTCGTGCATAAGTCGCTCCTGCTCCACAGCAGCGATAATCGAGGTCGCGACAGATGGTGTTGTGTGCCCGACTCTGACGGAGTCCCCACTCAACAGAGCCTGGAGGCACCGCCGGAGGGTGTCTGACCAGCTGACTCGGCGGTGGAACAGCGAGTATCAGCGCGCGCTCCGCTGCTGGCACCGGTCACCGCGGGGGCAGCCGAACCGGACACCGGAGGTGGGAGACGTCGTGCTCGTCCACAACGAGGGGCCGCGCGGACGGTGGCCTCTCGCACGCGTGACCGAGCTCCTGGTCGGACCGGACGGCCAGACCCGCGCCGCGATCATTCAACTGCGCGGTCGCCGTACGCGCCGACCTCTCAGCCGGCTGTTTCGGCTGGAAGCGGCCCGTGAGGCGCCGTGAACCGGACCCGGATCGGTGGTTAGTCTGGTGACACGGTTGCGACTGTCCCGGTGCGCGCGCGATGCGTTGTTGTGATTTGTTAAGTTGCTGTACCTGTTTTCTGTTCTTTCGAAATCTCGCCCCGATTTCGAGTGGGGAGTATGTGCGAGTTTCCCCCTAAATACTTTCATCGCCGAAAATTACCCCTAAGTGATTGCTGCCATTTTTATTTGGTAGCCTGAGTTGAGGCCAGTGGCGCCACACGCAACAATACAGAGTCACCTGTGAGACGCCGTGCTGTTTGTGCATACCGATGCTACCAGAGGGATACCGACCGAAGATTTCACCGATTTAACTACATTAACGTAACGTAACTTTCAACACCCTCCCACCTTCAAAAAAGTTAATGAATTGGCATAAAAGTGATGTCCAATGGATGAGAGTGAGCAAAAAAAAGAATATCTACTGGTGTACGTTAATTTCCATCAAAAAATATTCAGTTTTTTTTTTTACATTACACTTATCATTTATTTCCCGGGGCCTACGCTGTTCATACTTATATTTTACACTTATTATTTATTTCCCGGGGCCTACGCTGTTCAAATGAAGTCATTGGGAAAGAGTTATTTGGTATTTTTAAAGTGCGACCGATGTTGCGCGCAAAGCAGCATATACCACCGCAGGGGCGGATCCAAGGGGGGGTCACATGGGTCATGGCCCCCCCCCCCCCTTGAGGCCCGGGGGCCCAAAGACCTGCCAGGGGCACCACCGGCCTATCAGGGGTATCACAGTCCTGACAGGGGCACCACAGGACCGCCAGGGGGACCACAGGCCTAGCAGGGACACCACGGGCCTGGTGCCCCTGGGCCCTGACAGGACTGTAACGCCCCTGACAAGCCTGAAGTGTCCCCGGTAGGCACGTGGTACCCCTGACAGGCCTGAGGCGCCCCTGCAAGGCCGGTGGTGCCCCTGGCAGGCCTGTGGTGTCCATGGCAGGCCTGTGGTGCCCTTGCTAGGTCTCTGGTGCCCCTGACAGGCTTGTAATGCCCCTGGAAGGACTGTGGTGCCCCTGGGCCCTGACAAGCCTGAGGTGCCCCTGACAGGCTTGCGGTGCCCTTGGAAGGACTGTGGTGTCCCTGGCCCTGACAAGCCTGAGGTGCCCGTGACAGGCCCGTGGTGCCCTTGTTAGGCCTGTGGTGCCCTTGGCAGGCCTCTGGTGCCCTTGCTAGGCCGCTGATGCCCCTGGCAGACCTCTGGTGCCCTTGCTAGGCCGCTGGTACCCCTGCGCCCGGAGAGGACTGGTGCCCCTGAAAAGTCTGAAGTGCCCCTCGGCAGGCCCAAGGTGCCCCTGCGAGGCCGGTGGTGCCCCTGGCAGACCTCTGGTGCCCCTGGCAGGTCTGTGGTGCCCCTGGCAGGTCTGTGGCGCCCCTGGCAGACCTGTGTTGACTGGTGCCCCTGCTAGGTCGCTGGTGCCCCTCACAGACCTGTGGTGCCCCTGGGCCTTGACAAGCCTGAGATGCCTGGCTATGACAGGCTCGTGGTGCCCCTGATAGACCAGTGGTGCACTTGCTAGGCCTGTAGTGCCCCTGGCAGGCCTTTGGTGCCCCTGGTACCCCTGCGCCCGGAGAGGACTATGGTGCCCCTGAAAAGCCTGAAGTGCCTCTCGACAGGCCCGTGGTGCCCCTGGGCCCTGACAGGCCCAAGTTACCCCTGCGAGGTCGGTGGTGCTCCTGGCAGGCCTCTGGTGCCCCTGGCAGGTCTGTGGTGCCCCTGGCAGGCCTGTGTTGACTGGTGCCCCTGCTAGGCCGCTGGTGCCCCTCACAGACCTGCGGTGCCCCTGGAAGGACTGTGGTGCCCCTGCCCCTAGTTGGGCAGGGGCACATGAGCCCAACATGAGCCTAGTTGGGCTCATGGGCCCAACAGGCCCGTTGTGCCCCTGACAGGCCTGTCGTGTATACTTGCTAGACCTGTGGTGCTCCTGCTTCCTGGCAGGCCTGTGGTGCCCCTGGCGGGCCTGTGGCGCCCCTACAAGGCCGTAGGTGCCCCTGACAGGTTTGTGGTGTCCCTGGAAGGACTTTGGTGCCCCTGACAAGCCTGAAGTGTCAAGGACAGACCCTTTAGACGCCAGGTTCAAGTTCGTCGGACTGACAATTCGATTTGCTTACCTGATAACGTTCCTGGTAAGTACTTACTACTCAGCGTCCACAACATATACACATAGCACATTCATATATACTTGCTTACAATTGGTAAATGTGGTTGTGGCTAAGAGTTAAGATACTGACTAAAAAAAAATAAAAAGAAAAAAAAAAACTGAAAATGGGGGCCCCACCAAAATGAAGTGAACGAAATCCGTTGAGTTTTTAATTTTGGGTATAGGTAGGGGCACCACTTCGATTCATGACCCTCCCCTTGGAGTTTTCCTGGATCCGCCCCTGATACCACCACTGCTTCTTGAAGATGTTAGTACAAAACTATGGTCATTTTGAAGAAGATAATATATTTTACTTGACGAGAATGCTGCAAAAAATTCCTCCAATAATAATAATAACCAGTAATTACTTCTAAGATATACGTATGAAGGTACCTATTTTGCAACTGTGTCAAATCACAAAAGAACAGCATTCTGACAGCTCACTGTGTTATGTTGAAGTGGCAAGTTTGGTTAAACTTGGTCAGTGCTGAACTTTGAATTTAATTGCTAATTGTTTTGTCATTTCAGAGTGTTAATGGCAAAAGAAGACACTGAGCTGGGGCCGGACGCAGCAGGCGACGAACGCTGTGGTGCGCTAGGCAAAATGTCCAAGATGCTGGTAGCGGGTGAAATACGCAGCTGCTCGTCGTCTCCTAGAGCGCCGCAGACGCCGTGGACTGCGCCATCAAAGTCGACGGAAGGTCGGTTCCAGCAGCCGACCGTCTCAAACTACTCGGAGCCACCCCCTCAACCTGCTCCTTCACTTCGGGGCCCATTGCCGCAGTCTCCGCTCCCGAGTGCGCCCCGGATCCAGCAGCTTCGCAAGCTGACAGCGCGGGGCTGGGGACTAGAGGAACGACAGCTCCGCGCTGTAGCGTCTGGATACGTCCGTGGAGTGCTGGTGCACGCGGCCGCCATCTGGCTCCCGGTGACGCCACAATCCCACGTGGAACTCCTCCAGAGGGAGATGCGGGCGGTGACCCGTATATCACCGGCTGCCCCTTGTTTACCCCAGCCCACGCAGTGATGGCAGAGGCCGGACTGATGCCGGTGCCCGCTGGCCCCCCGGCGAGACGTGCTGGTAGCGAAGCTCTTCGCCAAGGCGCACGCGCTCCCCGAGGGCAAGCCCTCAGGACTATCGCGGAAGATGGGCCGCTCAGCCGACTGAAGTCGGTGACGGACTGGCGTGGGGTAGGGCACGAAACCTGGCGAGCGGCTGGGATCGCCCTGCCGCTGGAGACCCTGTTGCGTGCCAGCGCGCCGCCGTGGGAGGTGGCCGCCTTCCCAGACTTCACCTTCAGGCTGGACATAGGGACACTGCAGCGCGACGCCTCGGCTGATGAACTACACCGGGCGGCACAGCGACACTTGGCCACCCTCCCCAGCAAGCCATCAGGGTATGAACTGACGCATCGGCGGAAGCGGGAGTCCGTCCGCAGCGGAGAAGCCGGGGCGGACTCGGACTTCGTGGAGTGGCCGGATGGCACAGCCGACCAACTGTGCTTTAGCTTTAGGGCGGTGATGGTCGCACTCCGCGTGGCTGGTTTTATATCGTCAAAGTTAGTTTTTGTAACGTGCTTCGTCCGGCGTGTTGGTGTATGGAAACCTACGTGTTTCCACAATCGCCCTTCGCCCATATCTTCAGATGCGTCCTGAGTCCCTACTGCCTTGACGTCAAATAAACCAAAATAAAATAAAATAGAATAAAAAAGGGCCTGCACACTACCCCACACTACCCTATGGGAGATGTTAACCCGCGCCGTGCGGGGGTATTTCAACACCCTTTGTGTTTTTTTCGCGAATATCTCAAAAACGGCGGCGCGGAGCGCTACCGTGTGTGGCACACCTTATCATACATCAATTCTACAAATGTTGTGAAAATTTCAGACCAAGGCCATTCAAGGTCAGGTCACCAGGTCACTTGAAGCGACCACACCTCATAAAAAGTTTCAATGTCTGCCATAGCTACACCGAGTAACCGATCGCTTTGAAACTTTCAGACGTTGCTAACAGCAATAGTGTGTACAAAATGTACGTCTCAGAATTTTGATATCGATGACCTAAGGTCAGGTCAATTTTGCGACATCCTGAAGTCATTAGTCAATGGGAGAAAACTGAAATGCGCCTCTTTTGGACGAACGCCATTATAAACACTCCTTAACACTGAATTACAAGTAACTTAGACACATTTAACATGAAAATGGTGTCCGTGACCCCTGGTGACCCCTGTTTATGCCCCTCAGGTCATCGCAGGTTACGAATGGTGTCTAACAGTTTTTCGCGAATAACTTTTGATAGAGGCATGCTAGAGCGATGAAAACACCTTAGATGTGTTCATCTCGACGATACAGATCGATTAATGACCCTTTCATTGACGATACATGACCCTTTCCGGTCAGGTCATGACCTGACCTGAGGTAAAATTTTCAAGTTGACATTTCAATGTCATATTATAGTTCATTCGATGCGTCTTGACGAGAGAAACACGATGCCGGTAAAACTAAGCTCGTGCATGGCTTTAGTCAAAAGTTATTGCGGAAAAACGGTTCCGAAAAACGGCTGTTTTGGCAGTTTTTGTCCCCTGCAGGCAAAACCGCTGATGTTAGCTCAAATCTGAAAGAATCATTCAGAATGGTCGTTGATAGGGCTATCGAATGCGCTTTTCCACGGCGTTGTAGCTCTACCCCCCCCCCCCCAACAGGGCGTGGAAATCCAGGACCCCCAGCGGGGTGCAGGTTAATAGCTGGCGTGGGTTTCTTGAGCCTCGTGAAAATCGAATAAGGGCCAGAGCCCCATACGCCTATGGGGGCCCATTGGTTGTTGGGGGGGAGGGGGGACAAATGATATGATGGCCCCCTGATTTGCCTTTGGAGGGGGGAAGGGCATGTCCCTGATCCCCCCTCTGTGACCGCCACTGCACTGAAAGTGGAAGGGGGAGGAGCAAATACATACATTGCTGGCCCCTAGCCTGTTTGAACCGAGGCAGGGGGGGGGGCATTGTCACCCTGGACCTGCAAGCTACTGCGCCCTTGACGAACTATGCCTACCCCAAGCAGATCCGGTCAAGCGTTGGTCGTTTGTATACGCATTCTCTTTCACCGTGCCAGTATTGTCTTATACCTCTTCAGTGCTCGCTGCCCTGCCTCGTATTCAACAAAATGCTGCCACCAGGACTTACAGTTTTGTCGCTGATATGGTTTCATTCATTGAGTGAAGGAAATTTTGCGGTCAATAACGCTGCAGAAACAAAAGGGAATCTTCATTAACCTTGGCCCCAGTGGGGGGGGGCATATGTTACCACCCTGTCGCGTTTTTTGCGTGTGAATAAAAAACCGCGGCGCGTAGCGCCGCGCCGCTTGGGGTAGCTTTTGGTACATCAATTTTGGACAATGTGTGAAATTTTGACCCCAGGTCATGTCAGGTCAGGTCACCAGGTCAAGTTAACTGACCAAGCCTAAAAAAGTTTGCAATCATGTCCAGCCTGCAGTGTTCGTCAGAAAGGTTTAACTTGGTGGATTGCATGCTGTTATGGGCCCCTACAATTTGTATATCTCGGATTTTTTTATATCCGTGACCTAAGGTCAGGTCAGTGGCGTGACCATTCCATTACAAGTCAATGGAGAAAAATGAAAATGCCTCTAGATCCGTGTGTTCGCATCGGAACAGTCCAAATATATCAGAATCACAATGATTTAGTCCACTCGTGATGACCAAGGTGTCATTTTTGCTGATAGCCTCTATACAGGTCATCCGAGGTCACTTGAGGCTACAAACAGTTTTTTGTCAATAACTCGCGATTGGAAAGAGATATAACGCTGGGGATGGTCTCATTGTGTTTGTCTTGTTGAGACGCATCGACTGATATGCAACATGACCTTTTCCGGTAAGGTCATGACCTTGGCCTGAGGTCAAATTTTCAAGTTGACCTTTCAAGGTCAAATTATAGTTCATTCGACACGTCTCGGCGAGGGGAACACGATTCTGGCAATAGAAATGTCGTGGCTTTTTCTAGTCGAAAGTTATTGTCGAAAAACACTTTTCGTAAAAACAGCTATTTTTGGAGTTTTTGCCCTCTGGAGGCTAAACCGTTGACCTGAGGTCAATATTGATAATGACTTTTTCAAAAGAAGAGTTCAAAAGCTATCGATTGCTCTTCCATGCGTTTTTCTAGCTACCATAGTTCCTGAGATAGCGGAATGTTTTCTGAAAAATATAATGACAATTGGCAAATTTTGACCTTTGATGACCTCTGGTGACCCCAATATTGCTCTAAGGTGAAAAATGACCGAAATACTTTCAAACGTACGCATTGAGAGCTATCGACTGCTTTTTACCGCGTGCGTCTTTCTAGCCCTCTTAGTTTTTGAGTTAGAGGTGGGTGGTAACATATGCCCCCCCCCCCCCCCCACTAGGGCGAAGTTGGCTGAGACCGCCACTGGGGCGCGGGAACGGGCAAGCTGAACAGTCGTCAAGTTGTGGTGTTTGGGATACCGGGTGGTAGGTAGAGACAGACACCAAAGTCAGCAAAAAGTGGGGGGCAGTTAACATTGCTGCCCCCCCCCCCCCACCTCCGAAAGTGGGGGGCCATGGCCCCCGGCCCCCTGTTCCTACGCCTATGCAAAACAGTTTGTTTTTCCGGAGATCGATGATGTCATTTTCTCTCTTAGCGGTTGGAAGGTGGCTTCCTCACTGGACTTGCGTGCCATTCCAAAACTGGACATGCGTTTTGGTGCCTACAGTTGTCGCGAGAATCGAGTAAAATTTGCACGTTTCACGCAAATTGGGTAAAACGTATTACCCTCGTCGAATGCCAATGGGCTGCATGCAGTCATGATTTTTTTTTTGCATGTAGCGATGAAGAAGGTGCTGGGTGATATCAAGGGTTGTTATATATACAGCGATGATATACTTTTGAGTTTTGGTATCTGGTAGTGCCGAAGAACACTTTCAGTTGCTACATACCTACTGTTTTTCAGCGGCTGCAGACAGCCGGTTTGAAAGTATCCCCAGAGAAGTGTAGATTATTTCAAACTTCCCTCCGGTATTTGGGGCATTTAATCACTCCTGACAGGGTCGAAATGGACCCTGAGAGGGTTCGTGTTACTTCAGACATAGCCCCACCAGAAACGCTGAGACAAGCAAAGGGGGTTTTGGGTTGTTTTCATGGTATAGGAAATATGTGTCGTCATTTGCAACCTTTGCGGAATCGCTGGTGACTTTGTGCAATGCAGGGCCCTGTTCATGAACCCCGGCGGTCGCTGCGGCTGCTGCGGTCGCTGCGGTCAGCTGGGTTGTTACGTCACGAAAAGGTGCTGGCTCAGATTTTTCCCAACGGGGAAAAACGGGTGATTGCCTTTGGTGGGAATAGGTACAGTCGGGCGCAGCGGAAATGGACTATTCATGAACAAGAAATATTTTCGTTCATTCAAGGGGTCAAAAAGTGGTATAAGTGCCTGGCAGATGTTACATTTTCATGGGCATACGATTGCAAGAGCGCGCTCCAGATTTTGAACAACAAAAACAGTATGAACCAAAGGTTGATTCGATGGAGGATCTTCTTAAGCCAGTTTCACAGTTCACTACTGAACACAGAAGAGCCGCGCAGATGCAGCATGTAGACGCTATCTCACGTCTGCATGAACGGGCGGATGGCGCCGTTTCGGCTTTGCACGCGGGCGAGAGTGGTTCGGTGCGTGTTCGGCTGCAGGGTCGGCGGCGGCGCCGGTTCGGTGCGTGTTCGGCTGGGGTCGGCGGCGGCGCCGGTACGGTGCGTGTTCGGCTGCAGGGTCGGCGGCGGTGCCGGTACGGTGCGTGTTCGGCTGCAGGGTCGGCGGCGGTGCCGGTACGGTGCGTGTTCGGCTGCAGGGTCGGCGGCGGCGCCGGTACGGTGCGTGTTCGGCTGCAGGGTCGGCGGCGGTGCCGGTACGGTGCGTGTTCGGCTGGGGTCGGCGGCGGCGCCGGTTCGGTGCGTGTTCGGCTGGGGTCGGCGGCGGCGCCGGTACGGTGCGTGTTCGGCTGCAGGGTCGGCGGCGGTGCCGGTACGGTGCGTGTTCGGCTGGGGTCGGCGGCGGCGCCGGTTCGGTGCGTGTTCGGCTGGGGTCGGCGGCGGCGCCGGTACGGTGCGTGTTCGGCTGCAGGGTCGGCGGCGGCGCCGGTACGGTGCGTGTTCGGCTGGGGTCGGCGGCGCGGCAGTGCCGGCTCGCACCGGCGCCGGCCCGGGGCGGCTGGCGGCGCCGCCGTCTGCTGCCGCCAGCCGGCGGCCACCGTCCGCCCGGCCGGGGCGCCGGCGAGCTGGATGATGGGGTGGCTGTCGGTGACGGAGGTGCCGGTTCTGTTGCAACCCCTGTCAAAGCAGATGACTGAAAGGGAGCCAGAGTCAGGTGGCATTAATTTGGTTGAAGCTGATTTTCTCTCGCAGCTGGCAATTGGACGAGAGTCATCATTTGGTACCAGAAGCACGATAAGGCCTGTCGGTCAATTGCTCACCGGCTGCAGCATGGAAAGTGGCATTGGCGTACTCCTGTGTTTCTGAGACGGGAGCGCATCGAAGAGTTCTCGATGCGAGACGGGATGCTCGTGAGAGTCCAGGCGAACTCAGTCAGCCGCTGATCGTTTGGCCGGAGGTCAAGCGGTTTGAGCTGTTGCACAAATTTCACGACGTGAACACGGCTGGACACTGTGGTGCAGGCAAGCTGTACGAGCTGCTCTCTCGAAACGTATGGTTCCCCGGGACGAGGCATCTTTGTCGGGAGTACGTTCGCGGCTGTAGCCGTTGCAGTAGCAAGAAAAGTACCCATCCTCAGCAATGCATACGCCCCTGATCCCGCAGGTAGCCGATAGCCCGAACGCTACTCTAGTAGTGGACATTCTTTCAATGCCGCGAAGTGACGTGTTGTCCCAATATTAACTCCTCACCTGTGTCAACAAATTTTCTGGGTTTGTTAGTGCGTATGCTTTAGAATCGGGGACAGCAGAGTGTGTTGCGGATAAATTAGCTCAGCATTTTATGACATTTGGGCCACCGGAAAGCGCTGAGTGTGATTCAGGTTGCAATCTTTTGAGGAATAGCAAAGTCAGGGAACTGTGCGACTTTTTCGCTGTTAAGACTAGATTCAGTGTGGGCTATTGTCATCAGGCCGTAGGAAAAATTGAACGTAGACATCTAGATATAAAAAGACGCCTACGGGCACTGTCGTCTCGCCACGGTTCTGATTGGGAACTACTCCTTCCTGGTATATTATTTTCCATGAATAATGAATCCTGCTGTAAAACGGGTACAGCCCATTTTTTATAGGTACTTCCTGCGTTATCCACATAGTCCCCTTTCTGAGCTAGTGACTCGCCCGGTCCGGGAATATTCTGATGATTATGTGTCAGAGAAGCTCCGTGTGTTATCTGAGGTATTCCAGGCTCGAGAGTGACAGCATGATCGTATGCAGGAGTATAAACGCTATTATGACCGACGGTATCGAGTGAAAGACGAAAAGTATCTGCCTGGTGAGCGTGTTTGGGTTAATAATTTTAACGCGCGATCAAAAATGGACGACCCGTGGGTCGGACCCTGTATTGTGGGGCACAGTGTGTTGGCCGTCGTCACCTGGATTTGCTGGATAGCAGAGGGCGTGTGTATCATACGCACATGCGGAATACAACGCGCTGTTTTGACGGTCCGAATGCATGATGTACTGACAATTCGGAAAGCTGGAAGTGAACTGTTACAGTATAAGCTGTCGTACTTCGTAGTGTAAAGTGTATGTATGGCAGTGCCTGTTGCATTGTGGTTTGGTTTGTATGCCAAAAGGGAACTTTTCGTTTTCAGGAAGACGGAAAGTGTCGGGTATTCAGCTGACCTTGACCCGGTCGGCTGGGTCACGTGGTTGGTTTGGGGTTGTCTGGCTCGGCCGGCCGGCCGAGCCGAGGGTCAGTCGGCGAATACAGTTCGGAAGGAGCGCTGTGTTTGTGCCCAGCGCGACAGGGTCTCAAACTAACACCGGCCAAATTGCCCCACCCCCACCGGCCAAATAACCCTGCTAGCAAGGTAGTTAGCGGGTAATGCTCTATCATTTTCAGTTTACTGTACAGGAAAGTAAAATGAATGGGACACCTACCAGCGTTGAGAGAGTTTAGAAATATGTCGTCAATTTTAAGATACATCGTTTTATGAAAAAGGCCAAAATGTCCCATCCACCCCTATATCCCTTTACAGGGCACGCCATGTAAGGGTCTCCCCTACATAAGCCCACAAATATTATTTTGGCGGGTTCTTATATGTTTTATTGACATACCCAGTAAACATGCCGACGTCGGCCCGACGGCCCGACGTCGGCCCAAAAACGGTACAACCTCGGCCCGACATCGGCTGGACGTCGGATACGCCCACATGTACCGACGTCCAGCCGAAGTCCAGCCGACATCGAGCCGACGTCGGGCCGAGGTCGTTTGCCGAGATTGACGAGATTGTTTGTCGTTGGACCGACGGGGCCGACGTCGGCATGTTTACTGGGGTCTGGGATAACGCGCCAAAAATATTAACCGGCGGCGGGATTCGAAACCCCAGTCGCCGACGTCGGCATGTTTACTGGGACAACACGCCAAAAGCATCAGCCGGCGACGGGATTCGATCCACGTGTCAGTTGAACGCGAGGCTAGTTCGCTAACCACTACACCACGCAGCCAGATGGCAAATTCCGTTTGTTTTGTTGGGTTATGCCCTTTCGGTCTGACAAGATCATGTCGGAACCGGAAGGATGATAGGGATTAGGGGAAGACATTGTTCTTGGCGAGCACCCTGGGTCCAGTTCATATAGAGTCCCATTGCTGTTACGTGACACTATTGGAAAGGGCGACCCCACAAACAGATTCATATAGCCACCCTTATACACACCTGCACCAACGTTTCCAAAAGTGTCCCTTTAATAAGTGGCACTTTGGCAAAGTGACACTTGCCGACTGGCCTTTCTATATGAACTGGGCCCGACCCTGGTGAGTTGCCGGGGCTGAGCCTGACTGGATAGGCTGGATAGGCCGGGGCTGGATAGGCCGAGCAGCCCCCAAGCACTCACCGCACCCGGCTACGGGCGAGCTCGGCTTACGGGCAATCCCGAATGGGATGAGGTTTCCCGTCCAGTCCGGATCAGGGGTTGCGGGGCCTTGGTTTGCGGCGTGGAGGATTTGACTTTCCTGAGGATATTTTGAATACAGAAGCTCTTGATGAAACATGAAACATGCATTTTATATTATTGTAACCGTCAAAACAGCAGCCGATGTCTGTCCGACGTCGGCCCGACGTCGGCTGGACCTCGGCTGGACGTCAGTACATGCGGGCATACCCGACATCCAGCCGACGCCGTGCCGAAGTTGGACCAACGTCGGGCCGACGTCGGCATGCCGATGCCGAGATGCCGACGTCACCCCGACGTCGGCATGTTTACTAGGAAATGTGCCGATGAACTTTCGGGACACCCTACAGTACACAGAATAAGTTGGTTCGATTTATTGCGCCATTTTCTGACGGGTCTTCTGTTGACCTTATACATTATACATATACTTACCTATATATTCACAATGAGTACAGTAAGGCTCCTGACAAACATTACATTTCTATCGTTATGCATACTTTAAAATGCCAAGCCATATAAAAATAATGCTGTGTGAAGTCACGGAGGATCTCATTAAAAAGAGAATGTTTTCAGCTGAGCCCGCCGAGCGAGACGCTGGCTGGATGAACTACACGAAGTGCACAGAGCCTACTGTCTGACCAGCTGGCGGCTCTCAGCCGCGCGCCGAGCCTACTGTCTGACCAGCTGGCGGCTCTCAGCCGCGCGCCGAGCCTACTGTCTGACCAGCTGGCGGCTCTCAGCCGCGCGCCGAGCCTACTGTCTGACCAGCTGGCGGCTCTCAGCCGCGCGCCGAGCCTACTGTCTGACCAGCTGGCGGCTCTCAGCCGCGCGCCGAGCCTACTGTCTGACCAGCTGGCGGCTCTCAGCCGCGCGCCGAGCCTACTGTCTGACCAGCTGGCGGCTCTCAGCCGCGCGCCGAGCCTACTGTCTGACCAGCTGGCGGCTCTCAGCCGCGCGCCGAGCCTACTGTCTGACCAGCTGGCGGCTCTCAGCCGCGCGCCGAGCCTACTGTCTGACCAGCTGGCGGCTCTCAGCCGCGCGCAGAACCGCGCCAGCTCCCCGTGCAAAACTAACCGACTCGCAACCAGTTATCCACTAGCCGGGACAACAGGCATGCAAGCATGCAGAGAATCGCGAAACATTCTATTGATAGAAACTGTTAGCCAATCGGTGACCTGTGCTATCTACAAAAAAAGAGTCCGCGGTAACATCAAGTGCAAACAGCACCGACCTTGGACACCGGACACACAAACAGCATCGGCCCACTGTACAGTGCGCATGTACATATAACAACATGGAATGTCGCACTGGCTACTGCACAACGCACATGTATGAAAAAAACAGACCGGCACGCTGACACTTTATGTACATGCTAACAGCGCGCAATGGGCGCTTTGTACTCGCGAGCCGCTGTCAGCGGCAGCAGCACTATCTGTGAAACAAAAACGCTCAAATTACGCATTTGTCACATTGCACATTGCAGGAGCAAGAAAAAACATATGACATGTTTAGCGGAGAGCGTGGTAGGGCGCTCCCTGTGGGAGTCGCACCGGCCAGCTCCTGTCGTGGCAGCTGGGCGCCGCTGCCGGCCGGTGGCAGTGGCGTGCCTCAGTGCGGCCATCGTACTGCAGCAGCACGGACGGCCACTGCAGCTGCCGTCCAGCTGCAGCCGGTCACCGTGCGGCGCTGGGCGTCTCACACCAGTATCGTCGCCGGACCGCTCAGGAGTTGGGAGCATCCTCCAGCTTTCTCCAGACCACCTGGACACAGGGACACAGCCGTCACAGACAGACAGTCGTCACAGACAGACAGCTGTCACAGGGACACGGCCGTCACAGGGACACAGCCGTCACAAAAGACAGCCGTCACAGACAGACAGCCGTCACAGGGACACGGCCATCACAGGGACACAACCGTCACAGACAGACAGTCATCACAGACAGACAGCCATCACAGGAACACAGCCGTCACAGACAGACAGCCGTCATAGACAGACAGCCGTCACAGACAGACAGCCATCACAGACAGACAGCCGTCACAGACAGACAGCTGTCACAGGGACACAACCGTCACAGACAGACAGCCGTCACAGGACACAGCCGTCACAGGGACACAACCGTCACAGACAGACAGCCGTCACAGAGACACGGCCGTCACAGACAGACAGCCGTCACAGACAGACAGCCGTCACAGACAGACAGCCGTCACAGGGACACAGCCGTCACAGGGACACATCCGTCACAGGGACACAGCCGTCACAGAGAGACAGCCGTCACAGACAGACAGCTGTCTCAGGGACACAGCCGTCACAGGGACACGGCCGTCACAGACAGAGAGCCGTCACAGACAGACAGCCGTAACAGGGACACAGCCGTCACAGGGACACAACCG